GTATTTCCATTCGTGTATCAGTATCTGTCTGCTTCAACGTACATAGGTCTCTCTGGTAAGCAGCCACAGTCCTTGTTATTGTAGCCGTTAGGTCCACATATACTCGCACTCGCATGCATACAAAGACTCGAACTGGAATCCCCACATAAATATGTGGGCGTGGCATATTTGCCGCGTTCACGATATTTATGCCCTTCGCTTTAGTGTGGGCTTAATCGTACTCTTTGATTGCAGAGAAGGGTCTACTTTACTTCTCCAACCCATCACTTTCAATGTCAAACGAGTACGAACGGGTGAGACGCTTCTTACGTGTCACAACTTTTATAATCGGTACTCAGTCAGTATATCTGTTCGTAGTGGTTGTTTTTCGAATTTTACATTTACATTTTAAATTGTTTTTACATGTGCATTTCATCTACATCGACAACACTTCTCACTCCAACACGCTCCTTTGGCTCGCCCCCCTTCCCTAGAGCCGCACACTGCAGAGTCACGGCAGAGGCAGAGGCGCGGCAGAGGCAGCATCACAGATGAAGAAAAAATTTACAATTTGACAAAAAACCGCTAGGGTACAGATGTAGTACTGAGTACCGGATATAAAAGTATAAAAGCATCTCACACGTCCCTTCTCATTTTGTCTGTTGACGCTCATATGTATGTGTATAATTTGCATACTTCGACCCTAAAGTTTAGAGATACTTCTTTCTTTGCGTTACGAACTTCTGCCCTCTGTAAACCGTTTATTTTTTGTTAACAAAATATGAGGAAAATATGAAGAAAACATTTGGTATTTTATGTTTCGGTTTAAACTTTTTGAATAAAATAAATAGCATGATTTAGAAGATAACCAGTGGGAACGCTTGTGAGACGCTTTGTACGCGTCACAACTTTTATACCCGGTACTTAGTCTGGAATTTTTACTGGTTTTTTTAGAACTATATAGTTAACAGTTTTAACATTTTCTACATCTGTCATCTACATATACGTACATCACTTCTTCCGTCAACACGCCTTTTTAGCACGCCACCCTCCCTCAGTGCCTCATGAGGCGAGTGTGCGAGCGAAAAAGTATGAAAACAATAGACAAAGCTGATGGACGGTATTGGGATGGCCACTTAAAGCCATTTATTTATTATTTATTTTTATTGGTTATATTAATGTTCCGATCTAATCCCAATTCAGTGATCTGATTGACATGGTCATTTTTTTGTAATCTTCAAAACTGTGGATACAGCAGATTTTCGAACTTTGTGGGGGAGAATGGGGGCGCAGCGAAATTGTAAAATACATTTTTAGCAGTTCGATATCTCATACATCTTGATGGTGATATCTCTGATATCCAGGCGCTCATCAAGACGGGCGGAGGGACGGACAGACAGACATGGCTATATCGACTAGGCTTTTGATACTGATCAAGAAGATATAGACTTTTTGGGGTCGGAATAGTTTCCTTCTGTGCGTTGCATATATCCACTTACTACCACAAATACAATGTTTCCTATTTACTCTTTGAGTACTTGGTATAAAAAGTAGCAGTCAATCCGATGCAGCTACGAGAAGTGATAGGTTTCTGGCATACTCCACCTGGGGATCCAATCGGTTGCCATGAGGAGAGGAGGGAACAGCCGAATAACCGCTCGAAATGGAGTAATAGTTCCAGTTCTTATTTTTTGTGCAACCGGTAGGAGGCCCAATAGATAAAAGAACATGTTCTCATGTGGTAGACGAGTAGCTAAATCAACTCTGTATTGGCATTTCTTATTCAGAACCAAGGCAACGCCCTGGGACGAAGCATAGTCACGGCAACACTCTCACCTGCGCCCAGAAGCAGTCCTGAATGTGTTAAGCATCCTCCGAACCATTTTCTACCTATTTTCCTAGATTACACTCAAATGCATACTCTCGTATGCAGAAGATAGTTTTATAGATAGTCCATAGTTTTGTGCGGATTCTAAGAGATTCTAAAAGAAGCAAAGCCGGCAAATGTCGACAGCGTTGTTTAAGCCTTTAGACTCCTTTATCTTGGTTTTGAAGGCGCATAAGCGGAACGGGAAGGTACTATGCGGTTTGGCCATGGTCGCACCACTCGCATCAGCTGATCATTATTAGATACATATGTATAGCACACCAACAGATAAACAGATAAGCCTCTCTACCTTGGGGTTGGCCTTGCGAAACATTAAGCTCTCCTTTAACCATTAGACGCATCTGCGGCTTCCAAAAGCATTTTAACTTGCAGCTGTGCGGCGACGGCAAGTGTCGGCACTGTCACGCAACTTAGTGCGGTGAGTGTTTCAGATTGTTGCGAATTTGATCAGAACAAAAGGGGAACAACTTTAGGCCCAACTCAGACTTATCAGTTGCAGTCGAGCTAACATTGTTTTGAATCGAAATCAAAAGGAAAGATACAATTTTGCAGCCGTTTGCCAATAGCAGAAAACAAAAAAACACTATTCAGTTTTAAAACAAAACTTTGACGCCCATTTACAAACTCTGTCTGCGACTGTACGAGCAGTTGCTCCGACTACTGCGGAGCACTGAACCTACCTCATGCATAATGCAGATTGGTTGGACATGCAGCATCTGGACAAGCTTCTCGGTCCGTTTACTGAGACAGATATGCATGGTATTCTTCATTCATTCATCTATTCACTCACTCTCTCATTCATCCGTGGCTCTCTTTCTAGCTTCAACACAGCCCAGGCCACAGTGCCTGCAATTTATTTACCGTCCAGCTTCTCAGGACTGGCAGGCTAATTAGGCACAGCCGTGTGGGACTGTGCTCCGCTAACGACCCGCCTGAATAATTCATTAGCTGGCAGTCCCAGTCCTCTCTCTTCCACAAGCCACTCATGCAAGTTTTGATCTCGTTTCGTTTCCCTCCATGTTCATAGCTTCAAAACAACCGCAAACATAACCAAAATGTAAACAGGAACATGCTCCGACTAGTTTATTTTTTCCAGCGTATGTGGCTGTGTCCCAGATTACACATATCACTGGAAATGTCTCCATACGGATGCAAGCATCTAGAATCTAGATACATCTGCAATTGTTTGTATTAACTTACCGAATAGTAATAGTTCTGACTCGAGTGATTGTTCCACAATGTATACACTCTTCTAACATTTCCGATTAGCCCCAGGAGATTTTAATTTTGGACGCCATCAGCTCTTTCTTTTTAATCAAATTAAATGTTTATTTATAAACTTTACGACTTCTGCCACATATTCAGACACATACTAGATATTTAAGACCATATCCTTAATAAATAATATTAATAAAATAAGGTTCAAAATAATGTACATTTTGTTTGGTATTTTAATATAAATATACATTTGTACATATGTACATAGATACGTGTCTGTTGGTGAAGTCTGTCCCAGGTCATTGGAGCGCACGTTTTTCATATTTCTGTAATTCATTACCAAGACTTTCCCAACTGTCAAGTTGGCGCAGCCCAGCCAGGGTCTAGGTTCAGGGCCCTGTGCTTGAGTGTAAGTAGTCTCTAAGCCCGCCAGCAGACTTAAACATTTATATCGGTGCCCATTTCAGGAAGAAAATTTTAGCATATATGTAGGTATATCCTTAAGTTTCCCGACTATGACGAAGTTGTTCGCACTTGGAAATAATTCTTAAGTTTATATAACACGCAACGTAAATATATTTCCTTTAATGCAAAATAAGACTCTCCATGAACATTTTATACGACTTTTTCTTCAATACAAGTGCGTAAATGCAATATTAATAGGTCAAAGGTATTTTAAGGCAAAGTTTGTAAACTGCAAGTTAATGTTTATTACGAACTGCAAATAGGTAGCAGCAACTCCACCAGGCTCATGGCTCATGGTTGAGCGAGATTTGTGCTCTGACATGGCACAAGTTTTGGCTGACTCATGGCAGTTGATTTAATGCTTTGTGGGGATCGGCAAATGTAGGGAAACTTTTTCCCCCACTTCCCAGCTGCTTGACAACTGAAAATATTCACCCAGATGCTAGTTTATGTGGCGAACAGCAAGGAAGCCGAAAGTTTGCTTGCATTTGCTGCAAATGTCATAAAAGACATGCCTAATGCGTTTTTCTTTGCCAGTGGAAAAAAACACGATTCCTTCATCAGAATCCTAGTTGATTCGGTAAGCAATTCTTTTGGCTCTGCAACCGCAATCATACGATGAGCTGCTGCTCCAATTGACTCTCGAACTTTTGTCAAAAAGAAAGCGAACTATGCGGGTAAAACTCTTTTGGTGGCGGAAGGGGGCGGGGCTCATTTTTGAAAAACATTTGTAACAGTGTGAGCATACAGAATGAGTGAGCATCAGGATGCAAAATTTGGTGGCTCTAGCTTTTAAAGTCTCTGAGATCCAGGCGCTCAATAAGACGCCTCTAATGTACAGATGTACTACTGAGTACCGGGTATAAAAGTTGGAACGCGTAACAAGCATTTGATTTCATATTTTTTTTATATATTTTTTTACGATCTCTCACTCCACACGTGCTTCGTGCAGTGTGCTGCTCCAGAAGAGCTAAAAGAGGCGTGCTAAAAAGGCGTGAAATGTGATGTAGATGACATGTGTAGAAAAATGTTGAATTTAAAATTTAAAAAATCACTATGGTACAGATGTACTACTGAGTACCGGGTATAAAAGTTGTGACGCGTAAGAAGCCTCTCACACGTTATTCCTAGTTGTTCCTCTGGCTTACATTTCGTAACCTTTTAGCGGAAAGAGAATCAATCAGCCAATCACCTATGAATCATTTGATTCCATTTATTTCCATATTTATGAACTCTTGTTCTGGACGTATTTTAGTAGCTATCAATGCTATTCATAAATTTAAAAGATATAATATGACAAATATTTGCAGAAGTTATGGATGCGAACAGTATCAATACCAGATGGATATATTCTATTGAAAACTGTATAGATTTTTCGATTTCCATGAAAGTGTATTTTTCATCCATGTTTTTCACTACACTACCCTACTTACGTACCCTACGTACTTACCCTATCTCAGTTATTTTGTGAACCAATAGCTCCTCCACCACCTCCTTCTTCCAACTCAACCATCACATCCGACTCCCGACAGTGGCTCGTGCTTGTCTCGAGCGTACTGATGCCCGTTGTATTTTCGGAGCTTACGAATGGTGTCTCGCTGAAGCGCACTTCCACCGTCTGCTCGTCACCAGAGTCAAGGTAGTCCCCATCGTCGTCGGTGCGCTGGCGGACGCGCCTCATCAGCTCCACCTGCTGCGGCTGCTGGAGATGCTGCTGGTGGTGCTCCCCGCTATGGATGAGGGCGGCGTTGATGTTGCGTGCACTAAGAATGGGCGACACTGCTCCCGTGCCGTTGCCATATGTGGGCTCTCTGGGTATAATCAAGAGCTTCTCCTTGGGCAGGCAGGTCTCCTGGGTGATGCCGTTGTCGTCCTGATCCTCCGCGTCGCGACTGCCCCCGATCCCGATCCCGCCCTCGCCGTTGCCATGATGAAGACGGGGGCCGCAGGTGTTGCGGTCGCTACGATTGTAGCCGCGGGTTATGTTGATGATATTGTTGTTAGAGGGATTGAAGCAGGGAAGAACGTGCTTAAACTCCTTGCGGAAGTTCTCGTTGAGCCAGGCATAGAGAAAGGGATTGTAGCAGGTCGAGCTCATGGCAATGGAGTGGGCCACGAAGAAGAACAGTATGTAGAACCTCCATTCGTTGGACTTGACGTCAAAGTCGTCGAATATGTTGACCAGATTGATGGGAAGCCAGCTGAGACCGAACACAGCCACCATACAGATGAGCATGCGGTTGGTGCGCTTCTTGCGATCCCGATCCGCCTCCTCCCTTCGCGAGGACTTGGAGCCCGGCTTGGCCCTGGCCCGCTGGTTTAACTTTACCGAGATCCACACGTAGCAGATGGAGATTATGAAGAACGGCAGCACGAACTGTAGCGTGGTGGTGATGGCTCCAAACACCTTGCGATACTCCTCCGACGGCCAGTTCTCCTCGCAGACCATACGGGTGTAGGAAAGATCCGTGCTCACCCCCGAGGTCATCACCTGCATGTAGGCCTGGGCAGCGGAGGTGGCGTCGGGCGATTCAATGAAGGCTGTCAAATCGTAGCTCCCGTTGAAGATCATGGCCGCATCGACACTGCTGTCGTTCCTACTCATTTGGGTGGTGCCGTTGATCACCTCGTTGGTCATCTTCACGTACATGCCATAGGGCACAGTAGCCAGAAGAGCAATCACCCATATGCTCACAATGATTCCAATGCAGGTAGATAGCTTCATGCGCGGATGGAATGGATAGATGATTACAAAGTACCGATCGATGGCTATGGATGTCAGAGTCAGCGTGGATATATAGATGCTGCAGCCCTGCGCGAAGGACACCAGGTGGCAGAGCGTGCGCCCGAAGGCCCAGCGGCCCATGAAAGTGTACAGCGGCGTAAAGGGCACGCCCAGGACGCACAGTAGGATATCGGAAAGGGCCAGGTTCGTGATGAATATGTTCGTGACCGTTTGCATTGCCCGATTCCTTAGGACTACGTAGCACACGAGGACATTTCCAAACACTCCCAGAACGAACACGGTGGCGTACAGCATGTAGAAGAAAATCTGCACGAACTGGTTGTGGATGACGCCCCCTGACTTGTCCACCTCAATTTGGGCTGCTTCTGCGGCAGCCTCTGCTGCTGCCTCTGCTGCGGCTGATGCTGCTGCCGATGCCGCCGCCACTGCTGCCGCTCCTGCGGATGCCGCTTTCGCCAGACTGCTGCTCGTCGCGGCCGTAGTCAGGCTCCAGTTGGTGGTCGTCAGCAGTGGCAGCTGCGTGGTCGTAGCCATCCAGCTGAGGTTGGCCATCTTTGTTTGGTCAGGCCAAGCTAATGGGTTAGGTTATGGGTCAAGGTCACAGTAGTTTGACACACACAGCTAACCCACTCGGTGAGTGCTCGTCTTCCGGTTGGGAATGGGCTTCGCCGGATGTGTGCCACTTAAGCAGCCATTTCCGTCTCCGTCTATGTTGATCTCTGTACGTCCTTATTCAGCAAATTTTATTCGCTATTTTACTCGTTACTAGTTGCCTAAATCTCCGGGTCCTGTAAATGGCAATGAATGGTAGAGAGAGAACTTTTAGTTAAAATATTTTCGCTTATGGGGAGAGGGGGAGCAAAATACTTTTCAAATAATTATCCTATCATTCTATTAAAGCTTTTAGATGTTTTTTCCCTCCAGCATATCTCATTATTATGACGGCTTAACCTTTTGATACGCATACCTTGCAAACTTGCTGCCATCAGTGCCAAACTTATCGTTGATATTGTACATCCCTTCATTAAAATTCATACAAAAGTTTTTAGCTAGGAATCGCTTGTCAGATGGACTTTAAAAGTAAGTTCTCTCCCCTACACTGCAGACCGCTTCTGCCACCGACTTCACAGTCTCTACTTTGCCTTCTGGTTTCTGCTTTTTGGCCAAAAGGGATTTAGTTGTTTCTTTGACTGGCTTTTATTTTTAGTCCCTGTCAGACACGCTTCCAAGGCAGAGCTCCCTCTTAGTGGCGGAGGGAGCGGGATTATTAAAAACAATGCGAATGTGACAGTAATGATCTTTGTCAAACATGGAGGCAAGTGCAGAAGGGCAAGGGCGGAAGATGTTCAGACAAGACCATGTACAAACAGTTGTTGGCTGAAGCTGCAGCAGTTGTTCTCCACACAATTCTCATCACGTCGTGCACTTGACGGGTGGAGCTTAAAATCCCGATTACCCCGACTGACCACTGCCAGCATAGAGTTTCCCAATTAGACTTTGCATTCAATCGTAAAAATCGATAAACGCCTCGTTCCTGCGAGGCGAACAAGAGTACAGACCAGAACGGACAAAATGCCTTCATTGTGGCATGCTTAGTGCTGAAGAGAGAGCAGATCAGCTTTTATTTTCATGTTTACAATGGGAAAGTACATCGGAACTTCATTGCTGCCTCAAATGGTCGAAAGTTAAGCAATCACTCAGACGAAAATGCCGATGGTTGATGGCGGTTTGTTACGCTAAAGCTGGTTGGAAAATGCAAAATTAATTGGATGGGGAAATCCCCATTACTGCACTGCACTCTTTAGAAGTTTTGTCTAATGCTTAATTTTACACATTCAACAACACCCAAAGGACCAGGTAAAGATCCTGCTCCAGTCCCATCCCTATGGCCAGACAGCCAACAACAATAATAGTTAGTTAGTTAGGCTGCAAATTGTTCGTATGTACCTGAATACGACATACTATATCGGATGAGGGACGATGGCAAATAAATACATTCGTATGCTGAATATTTTAATGTGTAACACCAAGTGCACCGATTTTTAAAAATCAACTTTTTTACAGGGTTCAAATGTAATTACTTTAATAATGACATTCGCATTCCCTTGAATGGGCATCATTGAACTCTGTAAATTAATGCAGAATATTATTCAAATTATGAATTTATCAAATTATCAACTCTGAAAATAAAATATTGAATTATAAAATTGGTCAGATGTCCTGGAGCTAATTTTGCAGACATATACAGGCAGGCAAAAAATCAACCAAATGATTTGTATGATTTAAATTGCATCTAAATTATGTGCATTTTAATAAACTCCCAATAAAAGCACAGCAGAACACCCGAAAAGGTGTCCAACAAATGGAGTGACAAACCGCTAAATTCTAAAGAAAGCATTCAAATTGATCGATTAAAATATTGAAAAATATGTTCTAAAATCCATATCCCTGAACTGCAACTCATGTACAATATAAAACGTTATAAATCAAAGGGAAATTCTCGAAAATGTTACAAATTACACAAGAAATTATGCAAAGCAGATTGACGGCACCCTGCAGCCATGACCTGTTACCGGAAGTCGGTCCACAGGGAGAATGTAAAAACAGCCCACGTCAAGAAATTAATCATTTTGATAAAGCATAGTGATAGCGCTCTGGCTGAACCCAGAGTGTCCGCATTAGAAGAACAACCAGGTTATTCGAATGCATCTGTATATCATGGTACGTACGAAAACAACAACAGAAGGACAAGTTGCCAGTTAGCAGTTTTCATGGCTGCTGGTGGACAGGGGTCTGAAAAGAAGATTATCAAAATCGTTATCAGCAGCCCGCATTGGCATCCCCCAAGTGTCATTATCGTCATTCTCATCCTCGCCATCACTGACGTTCCTGCTCACGCGCCTTACTCCCATTATCATTACCAACAAGCAGCACAAAGCGGCTTGAGTGTGTCCTCCCGTTCTTTCCTGTCCCGTTCTGTATTGTCCCGTCCTGTACTGTCTTGTTTTGTCCTGTTTGTCGGATGCTGGTGTCGTCCTGCTGTTCCGGACCTGCTGCTCCGACCGTATTGCCATACTTCGTAATTTTCATTTTGATGCATTTGTCACCATTTTTTGTTCGCTTTTATACTTACAATAACTTGTTCCTCTTCTTCTGCAACGATTTATCTTTGAGCCCGTGACATAATGAAACAAGGCGTTATGGCCGTGGCGAGAAAAAACGTTCACTTTAATGGGACTTTATTCTGCTCTCCTGCCCCACTCACACTCCCCCCCTCCCCTAACCAAACAGAACGTTAAGCTCCAGCTATAAGTGCCAGTATATTTATATGGCCTACTTATCGCAGAGAATTTTATGGCTACAAGGTGTATGCGTCTATCCAGAGAGTAAAAGCCATTATTGAATTTCGTATTACTGCCGGCTTAAAGATTCCATTCACACCATCGAAAGAGAGCAAAAAATTGAACGGACCAATACACAAAATAAAGAATAGGAGAGAAACTAACTCTTTCAGCCTTTTGTTTGAGAATTACTACCACCCGAGAATGGAATCATTTTAGGACAAATAGCCGGAAAGCTTTTAGATAATAGATAATAAGCAGATAGCTGCTGGCTAAATTTAAATGGCGAGAACATTTCATGTAACAGTAAGATAACATTCCGATACCCGGAAAATAATCAAATAACAGTGGTTGGAAAAATGCCGTCCAGCAATCACATAACTTCCAGATAACAAGTAAATATTTGTATAATATTTTTCCTAAATATAGTAGTCCGAAATTGTAGTAATCGTCCAATGCTATCAGGTAAAGTTACAGTCTGCTAACACCAGCTAACTGCCAGAATACTACCAGATTGCTCTGCCAGAGGAAATATTTATATTCTCCAACCCCTTACAAACCTTGACCACAACCGAGAACAACTTTGGCTAAGCCCTGCCACACCCTGTCCCTGCCACAGTCGGCGGTATTAACTACTTTTTAACCTTTTTGGGGCTGGCAGTGCTCCCAGAACTGCTGCTCCGTGCTGAAGGAAACTATGCTATTAGCCGGCACAAAAATTCCAGCGACTAATGATGTGGCCAGTGATCAATGCAGGCAGCTGGCTCTGCAGATGATTTAGAAGAGTTACCCAACCAGCTTTGCGCACTAATTAACATGGCCATTTTTATGATAATCAATTACAAAGTTCCAGCGGAAACTTTGACGTTAGTTTTACTCAAAAAACGTTGGAAACGAAGAAAGTTTTATTCGCCATCAAAGAAATTACTCAACAGATTAGGGGCCACGACAGATGAATTGAGATGAGATGGGAACATGTGTTCACTGTCCATGTCAGAGTCTTGGATCGATTGATGACGTGGAATTTAATTAAAATTTCGCTGAAGATTGTTTTCTGCTGCCATGGCAGCAGCACCAAGCACTTAAAATTGTTGCCCAGACTCGCCACTTTGCATATTGTTGAAAAGTTGAGAGAATTATTATTCGCTCGCATAAGTATCTGCTGATGATATGCGAGTACGTACATATAGAGCTACCTTCTCATGTACATGCATGAGAAGGGGGATACATATATATATATGCATATGATTTATGGTATGGCCAGCAACTAATTAGAAAGTTTATTTCCATTTAAGCTCCCAGTGCACTCGTTTCGAAAGCACGTCGTTCAGCAAAGTGACTCACTCGTCAATTCGAGCATTTCCCTATTTTACGATGACACATGCACATGAGTACCGAGATCAAAGATACATACATGTGGGTATGAGAAAATCCACATATCAGAGCGAATATATCACAACTCAGACAAAATTAAAATCATTGTGGAGTTGCAGGGAAATCTGCATACCCTTCCCGTACTAAAAGATGAAAGATAATGAACTCAAATTCAATGTAAGAATTGCTTTAGAATTATAATGCAAAATAAGTGTAGCGAAAACGTTTAAAAAATTAACCTGGCTGATGACTCCCCCCTCTTGTATTTGTGGACCCAATCAATGCTCAGCAAATAGCCTGAATAAATTATAATACAAACAGCTAAATTAAAGAACCAAAAATAGCAGCAAATTACTTCGACACGAGTCCTCGCCCTTCGGCAAGTGCCCCTGTTTGGGCCGCTCTAAGCCCATTACGGCCCCAGTGGACAGACAGAGCAGCCTGGTGCGATAAGTATCAGCGACATTGCCATAGAGATAACACTGAAATCAAACTAAATGGCGAAAATTGGCAGGCAACAGCACGAGGAAATCCAGGCGGCAAATATTTTATCAAAAAACAGAAATCGCATAGTATAAAAATCGCAGTTAAACATTATTAGAGGGCGATGGCGATAGGGAGGCAGGAAGCGACCCTTATAACCATTAATAAGATTGTTTTAGCATGAATTTACGGCCGAAGGCCCCGCCCCACCAGTGACCCACAGAGCCTCTGTCTCTCCTTCCGAACTCTTATCCCCTGGCAAACAGAAGCATTCGAGCCAAAATGTAAACAAGTCACCCCCACAGTCGGCCCTACTTCGAAGGCTCTGCTGCTCTGTCCCGTACTCAACGTAAGGCTGACAGTCTATTTGGAAATTGAAATGTTTGCTAACACGAGCCACTCGAATTTCTCAAAGCAAAGAACCAAACAAAAATGCATAAAAAATGGGAAGAAATATATAAAAGTAAAACGAATTTCATACAAATTACACGGCCACTTTTGGCCAAAGCTCAACGAGGCATGCAGCCAAAGAGCCATCAGAGCCAGAGACCAACAGGCCCACCCCTCCCCCCCCCCCCCCCCC